AGCTTCACATATATACTATCCTAATATATAAATATACTAATTCTTTTCCTAACTGATATTATCAATTAATAAAAAAATAAAAATAAAAAAATAATACATATTTTAATAATATTATATATTAATATTAAAATAATTTGTAGTTAAGACTGAATACAAAAACATAATAAAAGAAGCTTATGCTCAAGGGATCATACTTCCTTCTAAATACAAGAATATTATTTCTTCTACTTCAAGATTAAAAAAAAAATTCTAGTTTAATTATCAGTAACAAGTTCTGATATAGTCAAAACTGATGATAAAATCGATTCTCAATCAATTGTATTAAATAAAAATGATTCTTAATTAATCACATCTGATGAAAATGATTTTACTTTATCAATTATTACCTCTTATATAATAAAATCCTTTAAGTTATCAAGAAGTTCAGCTTGAATTCTAACTCACCTACTAATAACAAGTTCTAATGCAATTGAAGTTAACAATTCTGAAGTTAATAGTAATAACAATTTATCTGAATTATCTAACATTACTCCTCACACAATGAGATCTTTAAAGTCTTCAAAAATTCTAACTCGAACTCTAACTCAACTTCTAACTTGAATTCTAACTTGAATTCTAACCTAAATTCTAACTCGACTCTCTATAGCAAGTTCTAATGTAATTGAAGTTAATAACTCTGAATTTAATAGTAATAATGATATACCTAAATTATCTACTATTATCTCTCATATTATGAATTCTTCAAGGATTCCAACCCAATTATCAGAAACAAGTTCTAATCTACTATTATCTCTAGTAGAACAGAATAGAACTAAAACTAGTATATATTAGAAAATTAGAACTATATAAAAAAGATATTATAGCAGATGTGAAAACAATATAGTAAATTAAAAATTTCATGAACATGAAATTTTTAATTTACTAAATTATTTTTATCTTATAATATTCTTCTTTCCTTTATATCTGATTGATAATTATATATTCATTTAATATATAGAGAAAGAAAAATATCTGGAGCAAATACTAAAACAGTTATCAAGAAACAGGTCATAACAAAGAATTGCAAATAGGTAAAACAACAAAATTATGTCTTGTAAAAATTGCTTTATTTAATATGAAATATGCATAATTTCAGTATTTATTCTAAATAAATAATATTTATATGCAAAATTACATATAAAAGTAATTATTGAATATAAAATAATCTGATTATTAGTACTGATAAAATGTATTTGTTAAAGTCATTAAGTTGTCTGATTACTAGTAAAAAATCTTCCTGATTTATATATAAAATAATCATAAAACAATCTAATTCTTGGTCCTCTTTTATACAAAAATGACTATGAAATTATCTGAGTAGTGATATGGTATATTCAAATTCTATTATGATTTTTAGAGATATATATTTGAGATATTTTAGGAATATTATTGTTAATAATCATTCTAGAAAATACTTATTTTCTGGAATACTATATAGTTATTACCTGGTGATTTCTAAGATATTCTGAAAATTTTCTGAATATAAACTTAAAAAAAAATAGGATAACTATCTGAATATTGCTAGAATAGTAAATTTAAAATATTTTTAGAATATATTGGCTATTATATTTTTTATAGAGCTATAGTTAGTGAATAAAAACTTCATTTTTTTTTTATATGATATATATGTTGTTATATTCAAATTGTCATGCAAATTTAATATTTATTTTTTTTTGAAGCCTTATTTAGTCTCAAAATATTTAAACTATTAAACTTTATATATAATAATAATAAGGCTACTTGCAATTGAATTTTCAGTTAATATCATTTTTAAACTCTTGGAAGAGGAAGGAGGGATAAAATGAAATAAACATATAGAATAAACAAATATGAGACAATTTGTTAGTCAATGTAAATAGTGAGAGTTATTCAGCATTTTGATTAGTTGTTTATTTCTCAGGAAGATATTAACCAAAGAATCAACTTCAAACAGCTTAATTATTAGATAAAGCTACAAATATTTAAATTGGTACAGAGTAAAAAGTATGCAAAAACCTGAAAATCATTTCACTTATTATTATTGTAGTGAATTCTACTAGAAATAGAATTCACTACAATGATAATAAATGAAATGATTTTTAGGTTTCCATATCCTATCATTTATATATCTATAACTCTATAATTAAGACTATATAATATTTGAACTAGGATAGTAGTAATGTATAAAAAGAAAAGAGAATAGGCTTAGCTTTAAGTTTTAGTATAATATTTGTTTTTTGTATATAAAAGCTTCTTTCTTTAAAAACAATAAATTTGTTTAACTTTTTAAATGCACGAAAGAGCTAATTTTACTTTTGTAAAAATTAAATTCGTTATCCTTTATTAAATAAATAAAAATACATAATATTAAAATATTTATAAAAAAATTTATTTAAAAACTACAATTTTTTTTACCAAATATATATTTTATAAAAAATAATATTTTATACGTATAAATTTTGTAACTTATATTAGTTGATTACTTTTTAGTAGTTTCGTCACTTTTTTTTAGTTTTGTCAACTTTTACTAGTTTCATTACCTTTCACTAATTTCGTCACCTTTTGTTAGTTTCGTCAGTTTCGTCAGTTTCGCTGTTTCACCATTTCAAAATTTTTTTGACGAAACCTCCTAGGTTTCGTCTAACATCTATAGTCGGGAATTTAAATGTCTATTTAGGGCTTGCCAAAATAAAATTAAAATTGCCAAAAATATTTAATGCTTTAGAATTATGATTATAAAATGTCTTTAAAATGATATTTATTTTATTAACTAGTACAAGATAATGCACATCATTAGATGTCAGGAGCCCATCATATGATTTACAACGCGTCGAACAGACAAAATTTTCTAAATTCTATTCTAATACAGTAATATAATATTCGTTACTGAAATGCATCAGAAACGTAATTTTGTATCTTCCCTATGCCACAGATGTTTATGATAATAATTATAAAAAAAAAAGCAAAAAGTTGCGTGTAAAATTAAACCAATAAAATCACATTCTAGTTAAGGTTAGAAAGGTTAGATTAAACAATTAGTAAAATTTCACAAGGTTTAATTAGGGTGCTAATTAAAACTTGGAGCTGTTGTTTTTTTTTTTTTTTTTTTGTAAAAAAGTAGTTTCGTTTCGATTTTTACATTACACCTGATCATGAAATTCGATCGGTCAATATTACAGGTGGGGTTATTTAAAAGGAAAATACTAAGATATAGTCTAAACCTATCCCAGAGTGCTAATAAAAAATGTTTGAAAAGAAATTTTACTTCTAATTCTCTAACCCAACTTTTTTCAGAAATCCTGAACACCTGAAAAAATTGCTCATTCCCAAAATCTCTTTCGATCCCATTCTAAAAATCATCTAAATTGTCAGTACGTCGTTGTATCCGGTTTAAAGTTCTTAGAACAGGGACATGGTTTTCGAAAAGTTAGGTGATCTTGATTGAAGGGATTTCAGGAAAGAGCAATTTTTTCAGGTGTCTTATAATATTATTAAAACAGCTGTAATTGATTATTATTAAATTGTGAAACTACTGCGCTTTTGCCAACCCTATACTATAGTAACACAGATCTAAAATTTTCATCAGTTATCCTAGAATTTATGAAAATCAGTCGCACCCTTTATATAAACCCTCTCTAAGTGCATGGCATAGTTTGGTCCTAAGTTATAAGAGTTCTATATATTTTGCATACGTACTGTATATGCATCTTTTTTTAAATGGTCCCGAGGGGGGAGGTGCGACTGTAGCTATAATAAATTATGACAATTTTTTCGGCAACTGAAATTGCTTTCAGCTGACGTAATTATTTTCGGCTGCCGAAAATAATTACGACATATCAGCATTTTGAAGTAGTCAGCCGAAAATATAAAAAATTTCGGCATGCTGTAATGCCGTAAATCATCCTGACCCATGTATATATACAGCTTTCCATAGGGTTAAGAACTCCTGTTATTTGGTTTCTTTATTGTTATCTGGGTTTCTGTTTTTCCTTTTTATTTTGAGCTATATCTTTTTATTACTTTACAGAAGCGTAGAGGCTACAGCTGTGTTACTTAAGAGCTCAAAATAGACTAGCATAGTATAAAATAGATTTAATATTAGTAGTGCACATATTTTAAATTTGTATACATTTAAATTTAAAACAGTTTATAAAAATAATAGTGCACAAGTTTTCACATAAATTAAGACTGCACTGTGCACAAGATTCAAATACTTTTGAGTTCAGATTTTATAATAAAAAACAAGCAAAATTAGTAAATTCCGGCTCAACCGACCAGGATGTCTTCCGACTTTATGTATTCAGGAAAACTCAATAATATGGTTGGTATTTAAGATGAAAAATGATATTATTTTTATTAAATTTGTAAAGAATAAAAATTCAAAGTCCCAAAACATATTTTAACATGTGAATCTGGACATATTTAGAGATGTTTAAAAAGATTATAATTTGAAAATTAATAAAATAATTATATAACGATAATCGAAACTGTCGAAACTGAGAATTTGGTTGCCAATTTTTCGTTATAAACATTAATACTTGGCTATTTGGAGAGGTCAAATCGTGACCAATAGGTAAAAGTTGGAATTATCGGGATGTAATTGCTAAATATTATTACATAGTAAAGTAAATAATTTAATTGGTTCAATACCAAAGAATAAACTTTTGTCCTGTTTGGCCAGACATTGCCAAAGGCCAAAAAAGAGGTTTGCACGTAGATATTGTCAACAATGATATAAGAAAATATGAAACGAAACGCATTTTTAAACTTTAAAATTGACGATCAGAAAGTCTATAACTAAATTATATTTATGTAATTTATAGTTATTGTACGATATCTGACGTACAATCCCGTGCCAATAACTAAGCTAAAAAAAAACACGAGTTGTTATTATAAGACCCGTACAATAATGAAAACAATTAGTTAGATACATTATTATTAGATGTTAAACAATTAATTTGACGAAGAAGAATGTAATAGTAAATAATAAAAAGAAAATAAATGAGTTTGGAGCATTAATAGAAGCTGAGCTATTTCCAGCACTGGAACCTATGTTTATTACACCCCACTCTCCATCAGAGCAATGTTGGCCGTAAGCACAGAAAAAGTATATGGAACCATTGCTCTGAGTTATTGTGAAATCGTACTTTTCACCCTGAGAACGTATTCCCGTAGAGACTAATAATTTTTTTAAAAATTTTTTTTATTATAATGTTAGCAGATAAATTTAGAGTGAGTAATGTTATTTATATTAATGGGGTACTTACGTGAATTATCAGTTGTAGAATTTACGCATACACCTGGAGAGTCTCCTTGTACGAGATCATGTTTCCCGTTAACAAAAGAAAAGGAGATCTAATTTAAAGAAATATTTTAACAGAATTTCGGACAAAACGAAAACGAAAACCCACAAATATATACATACGATGTCATTTTTATTAGCAGAAATGTTTTGTGGGCTAAAAACCAACCCTATATCAGCAACTTTTACAGTAATAGTTTTAGCATTTGAACAAGTTAAGAAAGTTAAAAAGAATAATATGAATATGTCTAATGGGCGAATCATTATGATTATTTTGACAAAAAAAAGTAAAATGAATGTGTTAAAGTAGTGAGGTGGAATCACTTCCTCAACTTGATAAGCAGTTAGGAAAAACGATAATTATTACATGTATTAATTGAATTAAGGTTATACAATACTTTATATCGATATGACAATATTTAAATACCAAAAAAAAGAAGAGAAAGTAAGAGTTAACCTATAAAATAACTATTATAGCGAATTTTATGCAGATCATATAAATTACTATCCCTGATTAGTAAGTACGTATGTTAAAAGACTGTTAGTTTTTAACTATCTTGATATTTGTATCCATTTTAATAACTTATTTTTTTCAATTCTAATAATTTATTTTTTTTCAATTCTAATCAAAAATCGTTAAACGCTATTCTCATCACGCTAAATGGAGAGCTTTTCCGAAATATAAATAGTTCACCAAGATAATCCGCACCTTTTATGAGTCATTCTCTCATAAAAATAGTACAAATATTAATTTGATGACTAGCTAATTATATATAATATTCGAGAATAAATTTTATAATGATAATGATTGATAATAAGCCTGCTGAATTTAATAATTCGTTTAATGCTATTTTATTAGAAACAAAAAAAAAAAAAGTTTCACTCAGTCCAGAATAGTACAAATAAATAACGTCTATATATACAAAAATAATTTTATCCATTAAATTACGTACTAAATTGCAAATACATATCCTTTATAAATTTTTGAAACTATTTTAATTGTTTAATATAATTTTATAAATTTTATAACAGTTTCTTTTACGAATTTAGAAACCGTCAGATATGAAATATTGGAACAATTTTTTGCTAGGGATGGCTATACTTGTTGGTATAACTTACATGAGTGTCTAAATTATTTTGCCCTTGGAGAAAATTTAAATGTTAAAAGAAAATTTAAATGTTAAAATTATTTTAGACAGTCTAAACTGTAAATATTTTAGAGAATCGAAATTATTTTAGGATGTCAAATATTTTAGGGTGTCATAAATATTTTAAGATGTCGAAAACATTTTAGGATGGCGAAAATATAAAAAGTAATTTATATATATTAAAAAAAAATCTTATTAATAATCAAGTATTAAAAAAATATTATTATATAATTAAGTATTAAGTATTCTAAAAAAATCTTATTAATAATTAAGTATTAAATATAAAAAGTAATTTATATATATTAAAAAAAAATCTTATTAATAATTAAGTATTAAAAAAATATTATTATATAATTAAGTATTGAGTATTCTAAAAAAATCTTATTAATAATTAAGTATTAAGTATTAAGTATTATAAAAAAATCTTATTAATAATTAACGTTAAGTATTAAAAATATTTTAGCAAAGTTTTTTAACCACAAGCTTTTAGTATACTAACAGTTGATTATAAAATTTTACTTACAGACGATATTTATAAACATATATAATTTAAATATATGATTGTAATAAAATAGCTAGATAATACTAAATAATGTTTAAAGCCAAAACCAAACATTTATACTTTCTTACTCATAGATGTGTTAATAATTTCTTCAATATTATTAGAGATGTAATCGGCTGGAATGGCTCGGCTTGGCTCACTAAAGCCATAGCATAAATAGCAATGGTGCAGCCAAGCCATACATATATCATGGCTTGAGTTAGCCAAGCCGTTTAAGTCATGGCTTAATTTTCTGAGCCGCTGCTAACTATGGCTTAAGCTATTTGAAGCTACTGGACTTAAATCGGCTACGTCTGAAGCTGGCTTCAAAATAATGGCTAAAGCTTATCAGTTTGGCTCAGGCTATGGCTGAAAGCCAAAGCCGAAAGCCATACTTCTCTGATTCAAGCCATGATTTTAAAGGCTTGGCTTGATAGTGGCTCTGGTATTAAGCCGCGGCTGGAGCCGGAGCCGATAACATCTCTAAATATTATAATTGAATTCATGCCTTCAGATTCTGATTCCAAATCGCTATTGGTTTTTTTCTTCTACAAAGTTATTGAAATCTAAAATTTTATTATAACGTTAAGGAACGAATTAAATTTATTAAGAACGAATTAAAATTGATCAAAAGTTAAGAATAAATTAAAATTGGTAAAATTGGTCAAAAAAATTAAAATTGGTGAATAAATAAAATTGATCAAAGAATGAATAAATTAAGGCTCAAGATGTCATGTCAAATAACAAAAAATCAGCGACAATTTTGAAGATTTTAAACCATATCGATATATACAATTACTTATGATTACCAGTAATAGCGATAGGCAATTTTTAAATCTCAGTGTCACGCCGCAATAAAAATTGATCAATTTAAGAACGAATTAAAATTGATCAATAATTTTAATTATTAGATTTAAAAAGATTTTAAATTTTATAGAATAGCCAAAAAATTTCACATACTCTTAAAAAGCGATCTTTTAAAAAGTTTTAGTATAATAAATGTATTTAGCTTACGTGACTTAGGTTCACCTTACTGTAACGTATTTTGAGAGTAGTATTCCCTTAAATTTAATATAAAATATAGGGTCTATATTTTTATTGACAGCCGATATTATTATAGGCAATCAAAAAAAAATTTCGCCACATACCATTTTGAAACACCATGGCGAAAATACCAAAAAAATTTCGCCATGCCGTCTGTCGTGAATCATCCGTACTTTAGACACCCATGTATACCCGGATGTATAAAATAACTTCTAACACAAGCTTTAACAACCACAATAATACACACATCACGACATCGTCGAACAATTTTTTTGTTTACAAACCGTAGCGCTAGAGGTTTCACCTTTTCAACAGGGTTTCGCAGTTTCGACTTTCGCCAGAGTTTTGTCAGTTTCGCCTTTTTTGGGTTTAGGTTTCGTCTTTCGCCATTTTGTAAAACAGTTTCGCCTAAAAATTATACATGTTAACTTTAATCAACATTTAATAAGTTGAATTGATATCAAAATAAAAATGGTCGCTTTCATTAATTGATTTGATCATATCATCAAATGATGAATCCTGGTCTTCTGAAAAAGTTATTTTGGTTTATTTATATTCATTATTTTTTTTTTTTCTTTGATAATTTTTCACCGGAAATAGCTTTTAAAATGGGTTTACTTCAAAAAAATCCACATATCTTTATATTTTTATTAAATATTCTATTCACAATATTTTCAATAGCACAATCTCCTCGACAAACACCTATACCAACATTAACATCATACGTAGCCAGTATGACCACTACATCACCACCGTTAAAAAGTGAAGTAACTGTTACTCTTAAAGATACAACATTTACGATTAACAGAACACCGGCTGAAACCCCTTCTCCTATACCGTCATGTCAAATAAAAATCACAAATCCTCATACTGGTGATATATTTAGACCTGGTGATAATATAGATGTATCATGGAAATTACTTGGTAATGAATGTTTGGTTGATGGTGTCATACCACAACATCAAGTCAATGGCATTCTATTTTCAAATTTAACTAAAGGTGAAGAATGGAAATGGGATTACCGACAGGTTAGAATTTATTTTATTTATTTACTTTTATTTTTTTACTTATTAATATATTCTAAATTTATTATATAATAGAATCTTTATCATGAAACAAATACCACCATTTCTTCATTTAATTACTCTGTGCAAATAATATTATCTCCAAATATTCGAAATTCAAGTTTATTTTTCCTTGATATTGAATTAACATTTCCAATGAATCCTCCAGGTATGATATGGGATGTTATAGGACCAATTACTATTTTACCAATTCCAGAAGCTCCTCCAGAACAAAATTTAACAGATTCAAATAATAATATTCATGGTGAAGATATTTTTTCTAATTGGAATAAAGATATTAATAATGATACTAAACAAAATTTTAATAATAATAATAATTCTAAAGAAAAAACTAATAAGAAACAAATTGATAAAATTAGTATTGCAAATGAATTAAATAATTTGTTAGGATGGTTATATATTGTAATTAATGTGATTTTTTCTATTTTACTTATGGAACTTTAAAAAATTTATTTGGCATATTGATATATAATATATATAATATTACAAACTCATAAAATGACAATGAAGAATAATTATTATATTCTGAAAACTGTAAATTTATTTTATAATTATAGTATATTAAAGTAATTATGGAATTTTCATATAGATAAATTTTAATTAATTTAATATTGTTGTCTATTTACTATTTTTTTTTTTTTTTTTTTTTTTTTTTTTAAGAGTATACAGTAAACACTAACGATTAATTTTATCTTTTTCAACATAAGCTTTTATAATAATAATTTATTTATTATTATTAATTAAAAAAACTAGTTAAATAATATTAAAGTAATAGTTTTAATATATAAAAAGTTAAGAAAGTTAAAAGGAATCACATAAGACTTGGGATTTAGATTGAGATGTGAATTTGTCCAGGGAAAACAAAACTTTGGGCATTTATATTTGTAATTTAACGAACTAAAACATATAAGATTCATAGTAATTGAGTTCGACAAGAAATGATTTTCCCCTACGACTATATAATTAAATTTGAAAATTATTGATTACAGTATTTTCAGAGGTATAAATACAGTAGTAATTTTATCGATAAATTATCAGTAAATTATCGGTAAATTACTAGTTACCTGAACCCTAGGTAAGTTACTGAATTACAGTGCTGTGGGTTTTGGCCTGCTTTAAGATTTAGTTTGAAATTAATGCTGAGAATGATTCCATAGAGTTGTGCAAGTTTCGGTAAATCAATATTTCATGTAATTGTAACTTTGAATTACATGATGAATTTACGTGTTATGATTTTTTCATCATTTTCATCATTTAAATGTCGTAATGTATTCGATGCAATAATACAGGCTAAACTTCTGTAATGCTGGTACACGCGAGAAAAAGTACTAAAAGAATGATAAATAAAACAATTAATTTGTAATTTATAAATCAACATTTAAATTATAAATTCATTTAAAGTTATTACAGAGATAAAAAAATAAAAATTAAGATTAAAAGTTATTACAGAGATAAAAAAAATAAAAATTAAGATTAATTAGAAAAAATAATTCGAATTCTATTTTTAATCTCGTTAGAAAATCACAGAACATCCGCAATTTGTAATCTACAACAAAAGATAGTTTGATTAATCATGCTGTCATATTTTTTAGACTAAGATAGCGTTCTGAATTAAAAACGATAAGCCGCATTATCGTTAGTCTATTTTAAATTACTAAAATCTGCAGCTGCATATCCCGAATCTTCGGTCGAACTATCTTATCAGATATATATATATGCATATTATTTTAGTACCGGTAGATTATCGGTTATCGGCTAAATTCTATATTCATAACTTTACTAATGAAGTCACGTTGTTTACGTCAACAGTAATTGATGTTAACGTTAATAATCCCATTGACAATACTTTTGACAGCCTAAATCAATATTATATTTTAGTCAGATACAATGTAAAAATTGCCGATGTAGTAAGTGGTTATGGCTATCATTACAGCATTAACAATATTTTAGTTGCATTGTGGCTGCATTATGACATAATTAGAAGTATCCCTGATCCCCAGAGCACAATTTATTGGAGATTTCCGTTTCGTCATGACAATTTCTGACCTATTTTAGATAGTCGTATATGATATATGTATTATCCGGCTGAGTTTTCAAAGTTCCGGTTAAAATAAACACCGCCAGAGGAAAAGCGACATCTGGAAATTTTGTGCACTGATATAGACATTTTCATTTTCAGTTCATACGTAGTATAATAATTTATATTAACTGGAAAAGGATTCCCGAATAATTATTTATATAAAAGGTAGTGCAACCGCTCTTTTAATATCTAAATTCTTTCACCGTTAATACTTAAATTCTTCCACCGTTAATACTTAAATTCTTCCACCGTTAATACTTAAATTCTTCCACCGTTAATACTTAAATTCTTCCACCGTTA